TATATTTGTAGCAATAGCCAAAAATACATTGTATGGGTCAAAATGATTGATTTTTCTCTTATGCCAAAAATCATTAGGATATTAAGTAAAGATATTTTGTAAATTGCCTGCCGTAAGTATATCAAAACTTAATTTTTGATTAGTAATATGCATTGCTAAGAACTTAATTTGGACAACTTTAAAGGCAATTTTTTCAAGTATTTAGATTTTTTTTGCACCCTCAGATTCCAGATTTTCAAATAGTTGTATCTCGGCCAAATATTGTCCTATCCTAACAAACCATATATCAATGGAAAGAATATATCATAAATTGACCCTTATGACTGGTTTTCATGGTCACATATATATATATATATTCCAAAGTTGTGACCAATAGTGTGTGTGCACTGAAATTTTTTTTTTGTAAAATCAAAGTTCCCTTAGAAATTGCTAGTAAATTTCACAAATAATTGGAAAGAAATGGCAAGTAACATATTGAATTAAATGTGAAACTTTTAAGTGTAAAGACTGAAACAGTATTTTCTTGTAAAAAGATCTTCAATAATCTTAGATTTTTTTACAGCTTCGAAGAAGCATTTTTTTACAGTGTGTGTGTGCATATACAACTTTTGTAAAAAAAATAAAATAGATTGACATATTAATTCATTCATATTACATTATATTAATTCAAAATAAATAAATATATGCATTAAAATGTAAAAACAATAGTAAATTCTTCTGTAAATTCAATCTGACCATGTAAATTACATGTAAATGACCATGTCAAATAAGTCAATTCCAAAATGTTATTTGAATGATAAATATATATTTAAAAAATAATAATTTTATAAGATTTCTTAGTGTGAGCGTGATATATAAGAACAATTGTATCAGAATAATATACGTGCAAAGGTTTAGTTGAATCTCTATTGCCGCTATTTAATATTATATGGTGTTGCTTCAGATCCACTACCTGATGGTGCTGTCTGCCAACTGGGCCTTTGTGAAGGATGCATGTAAAATGCAGAAATACGAGGACTGCAAGTCCAAGGAGGAGCAGGAGCTGCATGACATCCACTCTACACGCTCCAAGGAACGGCTCAATGCCTACACATAAGACAGGAAGCAGCAGTGAGGGCGAGAGGACCCTCAGTGCTTTCACTTCCTGTTGAAGGGAGTTTTGGCACTGGTGCAGTCCAGGTGGTGTGTCGTATGACCAAACCCCATGGCCAACCCATTACCTCTCGCACAAACATTATTATTATTATTATTATTATTATTATTAGTGCTAGCAGTAGTGTTGTAGTTTTTTCACTTTATTGTAATTCATTTTTTTAAGAGATTGTGCTGGTTCTTTTTTTCCGCCACATATTACAATTTTTGAATATATTTTTCTTTTCAAACACATTTTAGTATTAATACATGAATCATTCTTATGTAGAGGGTCGGTTATTGGGGTGAAAAAAAGCAAATTTTTATGTGTGTCTGTCTCTTAAGGTCTCATTATCAAGGACTTAAAGCATGAAAAAAAAAATTGGTTAAAAAAATTAATAATTCTCTCTCTCTCTTGTTCTTTTTCTTTCTTTCCTTCTTTTTTTTTTTTTTAATCATCAGAAGGTATGAAGCCCGATACCAGCAGATGGCTTGCTCATTCTGCATTATTTTGGTAAAAGAAAACTCAAAAACTGAGACAGAAAAGACAAAAAACAAAACTAAGATATAACAGATGTACCATAAAGTGTTTATTTATTATTTTTCTACAGATGTCATTGCATAGCTTAACAAGATGATTACAAAAATGACAAAATGGTTATTATTTGCTTGCTGTGCCAGTCCAGTTTTCAGACCGCATCGTGCCAGTAAGTGGCGTTGTAACTTCTCTGAGAGGGAGAGGAACTTTCTGACCACTTTTAAGTGGACATGAAGCATTTAAATCTTACTACAGTGTCAACGACCCCCTCTTCAGCAACAATGCAATTCTCCCTTTACTGGAAGCAAGCGACACATGCACAAGCCTACAGCGTTTTCACCCCCTCTTTTTTATTTTCCTACACAAATAGATATAGACACAGTTAAGCCGACAGGGTTTTTATTTGACGTTTTTGATTTGTAGCTTTTGTACATAGCCATTCTGTAAATGTTTGTACTGTACGTTAGCACATATAAACTTCAGGTGAATTCGTATTAGATTGAAAAACACATTCCATGACAGGATAGGGTGGGCGGAGGGAGGGTGTTCTTCTAAAAACCCAAGAAAAAAGATGGAGGAGAAGCAAAAACCAGGCGACACGGTAATGTTTTGTGACAGATCACTTTCTTTCGGTGGGCTTTTTGTTTCCAAAGGGGAATATCACGACGAAAACAAATATTTCAAGAGCTTATATTATCTCGATGACAGTTACTCGTAGTCTTGCTAACAAGTCATTATTATATTGGACGATGGAAATGTCTTCTCATTCTTTTAATGCCTGGCAAGTCATGTTCTGTCAGTGTTTCTAAGAGCTAGTTTCGTGCACTTATTTGACCATTTTGTGAGCTCTTTCTTGGTGTAAGTGCATTGGGGTTCCGGCTGCAAAGTCACACCCCTGTAATGTTAGGTAAAGACTGTGAACCTAAGTGTTATTTGTGGCATGGTCATGCATTCAATGGTAATCGTTTTTACTGGATAAAAAAATAATAATGATGATAATAATAATAATGGAAAAAAATCAAAAAGAAAAAAAAAAACAAGAAAACAGTTTTCATTTAATCTTTTTATGAGTTTGTTATGCGACTGTCTTGCTGGGTCATCCCCTTCCTCATAATGTGCAGTAATTTGAATCCTATGCTAAATAGGCTACATTGCGCTGAAACTCCTACTCTTCGATGGTAGTGTTTGATTTGTGCCTGTTTGCTTTGTGGTGATCTCTTTAACTCCTCTGAGTCCTCCTCTCACTTTTATATTACTATTGCTTGTTGAGCCCCTAACTTAATGCTTTCTCTGAACCCTCACCTCTCTCTCTCTTTCTCTCTCTCTCTTACTCTGGCTCACTCTCTCTGTCCTCGTATACTAGTAGTCTTTTTGTACTCTCACTAAAGAATGCTTAGTAGCCAGCTGTACCATTAATTTGTTTTGTACATAAATGTGCCAACCGCTTGACAGTGGCTTTTCTGATCTGTAGGGACAAACTGCTTGCATAAATAAACTACACTGGTGTACTTGTTAATAAATACGGTTGTTGTTGTTCTTAACAGTCTGTGTATCATGTTGGAGTTATTCACTTCACACACACTCTGAAAATGTTTTGCTGGTTTACTTTTATGTGGTAAGATCTAAATTAATTGAATTTACTTCTGACTAAAGAGGATACACAAAGCAATTTGTAAAGGTCAAATTTAGAAAACTGTATTTTCAACTGGTTGTATATGATATGTTTCACATTACTGTGTGTTTATATATGACTCTAAAGCTTTAGATATGTATTTTCATGAACTCACTTGGTTGTTCAACAAAGTAACAGAAAAAAATGTTTCAGTGGTATGTACTACAACTATTAGGCCTAACATATCAAATATTTAGGACACCGACGTTCAGAAGCGCACCAAGGCTGCAATTACTTGATGAAAAATACAGTAATATTGTGAAATATTATTACAATTTAAAAGAACTGTTTTCTGTATTTATTTTAAAATGTAATTTATTTCTGTGATGGCAAAATTAAATTTTCCGCAGCCATAAATCCAGTCTTCAGTGTCATTTTTAAATCATTTAATGCATCATTGCTAAATAACATTTTTAATTTATTTTTTAAAAAAAGTGTCAAAAATAAAAAATCTTACTGACCCCAAACGTTTGAAAGGCATTGTTTCTACAGCTCTGTTATTTTCACTCAAACCACATGGAGGCAGGCTACAAAAGGACATCTCATCTCTCTTGTCTTAGCCCACTGTATAATGCATCATTGCTAAATAACATTTTTAATTTATTTAAAAAAAAAAAGTGTCAAAAATAAAAAATCTTACTGACCCCAAACTTTTGAAAGGCATTGTTTCTACAGCTCTGTTATTTTCACTCAAACCACATGGAGGCAGGCTACAAAAGGACATCTCATCTCTCTTGTCTTAGCCCACTGTATATAACTTGATAAAGGCCTTATCATTTTACGGTCTTATATTTTTTTCCATATGGTTTCACAGCAGTTATTTCAAGGTCATGTTATAGACACAAATAAAAACATTTTTAGAAATATCAACCTACTAAAAAAAAAAAATTAAAAATAAAGTTTAAAAAGTTTTACAAAAACTAAAAAGAAAAAAACTAAATAATAATAAGCTATAATAAAAACGATAATAACATAATAATAGAAGCAGAATTGCTGCCTTCGAGAAAAATCTGTGGTGCCAGCAATTCACTGCACTTTTTGAACACTTATAATTTATTTACTTACTAATGAAGAATATCAAAAATAAAACGATTAAATTCCACAAAACTGAGCAGAAATTATTGCAACAAGGTAAATGCATGCAAACCAGATGTTGTTATAAGGATGGACACACTTCATAATGATGTTTTTAATTAAGCATGTTTTCCCTTGACACTCACACTGGCCTACAAAAACACACCCGTGGCAATTAATCATGTTTTGACAAATTGGTACTAAAGGGAAATCTGTTCATTTTCTAATGTACCATACGCAGCTTTTATTCATACACTGTCAGTTGTCAGTATGTTTTTGTCTCAGTATCTTCTGAAGCCATTATATATCTCTCAGACTCAGACAGAAGAGTTTGGCCTGTCTGCTCTCAGTAAATCATGACCTGTACTTCAGCTTACACACAGGTGTCATCTAGCCTCCATGCACGCAAACACTTCACAGCCAAAATCAGTTCATACACCAGGTGAAGGAGTGTCTGCGAGCGGCCACGTGATGATGCTGAGAGAAGAGCCTTCTTGTAGTTCTAGCCGATTAGCGTGTGCCTGCAGGGCTTATCCTCCTCCTCGAACTCAGTCACACACACTAACGCACTCATACACACAAATAAACTCGCACACACTTCCCATCCCACTCTGTTCAACTTTAGTAACCTACTCAGCTTTGAGAAATCCTCTTTCTAATCTGGGTTCCCCCCCACCCATCCCAATCCTCCCACTCTTCTCGGCTCTCACCTGCTAGCATGCTAAACAAGATGTGGGCTGCGAGGCACTTTTCTTGCTTTTCCTTGAGGACTGATAAAGGAGTTTTTGTCCACTGATGGTCGAGTGGGATCTGATGTGTGTGAGTGTGTGTGTCCGTGCTGGTTCATCTGACTGAAGGATGTATCGTCTGCTGGTGGCCCAGGTTCTACTGGGCTGCTGGATTGTGGCACAACCCTTCTGTCCTTCCCAGTGCACCTGTGTGTATCACGGACGCAGCGATGGCACTGGCAGCAGGTAAGGACACTGTTTCACTATAGTAATAATAATAACGGAGATAATTAATAATTAGAATAATTTAGCATTTAGAGAAATGATCATTTACATTTTAACCACAGACAAATGTTCATGTATGTATAAGTTTATTATGTGACAAAATAAAATAGAAGACATATGTATAATGGAATAACTTAAAATATATATATTTTTCAGCAATATAACAATACAATAAAAATTGTGTAATATCAAATATTATTTTTTCATAAAATCTGAATCAAAATAAGCAAGATTTTTGTTTTATCATAAGGATAGACACATTTCATACTTATGTTTTTAATGGCATGTTTCTTGATACTAGATATATAAATTAAATCGCCTATAAACATATTCTTAATTATTATTATTTATTTTTTTTACAGATTGGCACTGAAGGGAAATCTGTTTATTTCCTAATATAGGCTTTCTTAAGCAGTTGCCTAATGATGTTTTATTTATACATTGCAATTATATTTTGAATTTAGAAATTTTAAGTTTTTAAGTTGAAAAAGTTTGAAGTTTTTCTAAGTCTTTAAAAAAAAATGTTCAACGTGTCATTCAATTACAGTCTAGAATGTAAATGTATATATTTATATTAATATAATTCTAAATATACTTTTTAATAAATAAACTGGATTTCAAATATGCTAATAAGTCATCCCTTGAATAAAAATAGATTTTAAACTATCACGTGGGTTATTAGCTTGTGTTTATCTGAGGGGCTTAGCTGTAGAGTGTGAACACACATGTTAGAGGAAACCATGTGTAGCCTACTGATTTATAAAGGGTGAATACAGAATCAGACAAGTGCAAATGTAAATTACATAAATGTAAAAAAATATAAAAAAAATCCTTTCTTTATGAAGTTGATATTCTATAGGCCTGGGGTTCTCAACTCTGGCCTTCAAAGTCCACTCTCCTACAAAGTTTAGCTCCTCCAACCCTAATCAAACACACATGAACAAGCTAATCAAGGTCTTCAGAAGAACTATAAGTTGCAGGCAGGTGAGTTTGATCAAGGTTGGAGCTAAACTCTGCAGGAAAATGGATCTCGAGAGCCAGAGTTGAGAACCCCTGTTATATAGGCTAATAAAATCCACAGCGAACATCATCACACATAGGCTCATATTGGTCAAAGTGATTAACCTCTGCTATAAAAATCTGCCACAGGTCTGTTCTATGCAATGACCCTGACATGTCAGATATTCCAGTCAACGTCCCTGTGGACACGGTGAAGCTGCGGGTGGAGAAGACAGCTGTGCGTCGAGTGCCCACCGAGGCCTTCTATTACCTGCCCGAGTTACGCTACCTGTGGATAACATACAATTCAGTCACGTCTGTGGATCCTGGCAGTTTCTACAATCTCAAAGTTCTTCATGAGCTACGGCTGGATGGGAACATGATCGCTACCTTTCCCTGGCAGTCTCTGAAAGAGATGCCCAGTCTCAGGACCTTGGACCTGCACAACAACCGCTTGACTAGTATTCCTGTGGAGGCAGCACTTTACTTGGTTAACATCACCTACCTAGACATTTCTAGTAACAAGCTGACTACCCTTCCCTCTGACCTGGTGGACATCTGGCCTCCATTTTCAGGCATCCTGCCCAGTGCCAATGCATCACAAAAGACTGTTCTTGGTGGGTAAAAATTATGAGGGCGCATCTTAATTATGCATTATGATGTTGAATATGCATTATGACAGAGTTTTTAAAAATCTTTGTTTTAGAGGGTTACCATTCTAAATGACCTTAGTCAGAAAAGAAACCCAGTATTTGAGGAGAATTCACATTAGCATTCATAGTAAGTTGCATGAGCTTTCCCTTGAGAAAAAGTTGTGCATTTAATTGTATTAAATGTGCACTTGTAGTGTACTTCATACCTTAAAAGTATATTATTAACTGTACTTGCAGATAACATAATATTAATGAAATAGGCCACTTAACTGTAAAAAAACACACAAAAAAAATATTAAAGGGATAGTTCACCCAAAAATTAAAATTCTGTTATTAATTACTCACCCTCATGTTGTTCTAAACCCGTAAGACCTCCGTTCATCTTCGGAACACAAATTAAGATATTTTTGATGAATTCTGAGAGCTCTCTGACCCTCCCATAGACAGCAATGTAATTACCACGATCAAGGTCCAGAAACGTAGCAAGGAGATCGGTAAAATAATCCATGTGACATCAGGGGTTCAACCGTAATTTTACGAAGCTACGAGAATAGTTTTTGTGCACAAAGAAAACAAAAATAACGACTTTATTCAACAATTTGTCTCCTCCCTGGTGCCATTTTGGAAAATATCAACTGAACGTAAACAGCGTATGCTATTCTGTGTCAGTTACATCACGCGGATACGTTGTTTTCATTCAAATCAAAGCGTAAACAACTTAGAAAACGTTTTCTGTTTTCTGTTTACGCTGTTTATGAATTGTTGAATAAAGTCGTTATTTTTGTTTTCTTTGTGCACAAAAACTATTCTCGTAGCTTCGTAAAATTACGGTTGAACCCCTGATGTCACATGGATTATTTTACCGATCTCCTTGCTACGTTTCTGGACCTTGATCGTGGTAATTACATTGCTGTCTATGGGAGGGTCAGAGAGCTCTCAGAATTCATCAAAAATATCTTAATTTGTGTTCCGAAGATGAATGGAGGTCTTAGAACGAGTAATTAATGACAGAATTTTAATTTTTGGGTAAACTAACCCTTTAAAACTAATTTAAAAAAATCCTTTAAAGGACATTTTAAATTATTCTGTTTTAATAATCTTTTGTCATGCTGATTCTGATGTGTTTACTTTTTAATGTGTATTGTGTCGACGGACTAAAGCACATGTAAAATACTGATTTATAATAAACTGTAGTGTATTATTCAATATACATTTAAAGTTAATATTTGTAAATGTACAAAATTTCAACATTACTAAGTTAATTGTATTTAATATAAATGTAACTATAAAATACATTTTTATTTAAAACGAAAATACATACAATCAAGAGTACAAAAACATTTTGAAACATATTTGTTTATATTTTTTTCTGTAATAAGTACTCTTTTTGTAGAGCATATGCTGAAGTGTACTTCTTTTTCACAAGGGTTGGCTCACTAAAATGCAAAGAATCTGGGTGGAGACATATGAAATACCAAGTAAAAAGATTCAAAAATATCCCTCTCTTCACCATGTCTTTTTATAGTAAGTCC